CCACCTGGGTCCTGAGTGTGTCCCTCTCACTCTCCAGCAGGGTGGGTCAGCGGGGCGGTGGTCTCTCCATGTCGGCCGCCCGCAGCGAGCACGAGGTGTCCGAGATCATTGATGGCCTCTCGGAGCAGGAGGTGAGTGTCCAGCCTGCAGGTCGTCGAAGCCCGCGTCCCCAAGAACAGGACACAGCCGAGGGCGGAGTGGTCGCACCCACGTTTGCACTCCCCCTCCAGAGGCCCAGGTCCCTAGGTCCTGACCACATGAAAAGGTGACCTCTGGCAGCAGGAGGCTGACCTGAGGGAGGGAGCCCGAGAAGGCCTGGACGAGGCCTCTGCCCTGCGCGTGCTCGCTGGTGTGGCAGGGGGTGGACAGGAGCGTCCTGTCTGCGCCCAGGCCTGAGCTCTGCCATCGCAGCGTCCCCAGGGGCCACCGTGTAGCGTTGGGACGGTCAGCTGACGAGGTGCTGGGGAAGATGTGGTCTCCCTCACGCCCTGTAGTTGGAGTCGTAGAGCCAGAAGGACCAGGCTGGGCCTGGGCACCAGGTCTGGAACTGGCTGACGGTGACTGGACCTGGCCCCGCCTGCCTCCCTAAATGGTTAATTAATTGGCCTTGATGGGTTGCTGGACAGATTGGGGCAGCGAGCTCAGCCTGGCTCGGGCCTCCTAGTAGCCGTCAGGACATGTGTGGGGCCTCCTGGCCAGCCCCCGAATACATGGCAGGGCCGGCCTGTTCCCTAGCAGGTTTTTGGGAGAGGGGTGCCAGAGTGGGGCACAGGGGTGGGCAGGGTTTTGGCTTGTCATTCCCCCCACCCCAGGCCAGGCCGGAGAGGCTGCCCCTCTCTGTCTGTGCCCCTCTGCCCACCCACGTGCCCTGTGTCCTCAGGAGCGCAGGGCTCCCAGCCCCCTGCACACGCCACCAGGTGCTGCCTTGGCTGATAGAAAGCCTCGCCCGTGGTGCTTTATGGTGCTCACATGTCCAGGGAGATTCATGGTCCTTCTCACAGCAGATCCAGCGACCCTGTCTCGGGTTGAATTTACAGCCCGGGCTCCCCATAAACCTGTCGGAACTGTCCGCCCAGGCGCCCGGCGGGAGCTGCCAGCCCGTCCGAGCCCTCGCTGCCCGCCTCTTGCTGCCGCACCTCCCCCACTTATCTCTGCACTCGGGCCCGTCCGTCCTGCGAGGGCCACCTTGCCCCCTCTGGCCATCCCCCCTATCCCTTTCTGACCACCCCTCGCCCTCGATCCCCCCAGAACCTGGAGAAGCAGATGCGGCAGCTGGCCGTGATCCCACCCATGCTCTACGACGCGGACCAGCAGCGCATCAAGTTCATCAACATGAACGGGCTCATGGGGGACCCCATGAAGGTGTACAAGGACCGGCAGGTCATGAACATGTGGAGCGAGCAGGAGAAGGAGACCTTCCGGGAGAAGTGAGTCCCAGCTCTCTCCCTTTCCGGTGCCTCGCCAGCCCTTTGTTCCGAGCCCCGCAGGGTCGGGAAGCTCAGCCGCACACCAGCCTCCGCTGACGCGCAGACGTTGGCGGTGTTGAACCTGGTGTCCCACGTGGAAGCGGGGAGGCTTTTACCGCTGAGCCCCGCCTAGGCTGAGGTCTAAAGGCAGCCTTTGCAGAATGAAGCTTGATGGTGCAGTGGCTAAAGTAAACGAAAGATTAGCAGTTTGAACTCACCGTGGTGGAAAGGTGAGGCTTCTACTGCCATAGGTGACAGCTGCGGGCGCTCAGTGGGCCAGTCCTCCCTCACCTGTCCCACAGGGGGTGGGTTGGTGGACAGCAGTGGACATGCCTGCAGAGGCGGCAGTGCTGAGGGCTGGGTGGCCACATCTTTGGTGCTGGTGTGGCTGTGAGAAAGTCCACTTGCCGAGCGTAGCCTGTGTCCCAGGGTCTGTGCGCAGCACCGCCCATGCCGTGTCCGTCTTGTCTCGTATCAACCAGCCAGGCTGACCCTTTTACATCACGTGTCCACACACAGGCCCAGAGAGGTGGAGAGGCTTCTCAAAGGTCCCACAGCACGCAGGTGGTGGGGGCAGGGTTCAAATCCATGCGCTTCGATCCGGTAGGGGACAGGTGCCTGGCAGAGCAGAGGGTGCTGGGAGGGAACTAGCATATGAGACAGTCGTAGCAGGTTCCTCACTGAAAAGGTGGGGTGATGAGCATGTTGGACAGACTAGGGGTGACGTGGGGGGTGTAGAAGGGCCCCCTCCTTTCCACAAAACCTGGCATCTGATGTCCCAGCTAGCAAGAACCCCTCCTTGCTAGTGGGGTGTTTGCAGAGGGTCCTGGCTTTGTGTCTTGGCTGGCTGTACCGCTCTGACCCACAGAGACCTGGTGCGCATTAGACCCAAGTGCTGCCCAGTCCTGTGCCGTCTTCATGGCCAATTAGCCCAGGTGCTGTCAGATCAGCTGTGACTCAGAGAGACCCCACCCACAGCAAGTGCTGTCCTCGCACCCTCCACAGTGTGAACCCACGTTTGCGGTCACTGTGCCAGTCCGTCTCCTGGAGGGTCTCCCTCTCCTCCTCTGACCCTCTATGGTGTCCTTCTCTACAGATTGGCCCCTTCTGATCACAGGTCCAGAGGGTGTGGGATGAAGTCTTGCCGTCTTTGTTTCCAAATAGCACTCCGGCTGCACTTGCCGCTAATTCTGTGTTCTCCGTGGTTGCCCGTGGTTTAACTTCAGTACTTGCTGGTACTTCTGTGATCTCCGTGGCCGCCTGTTGTATATCTTTGGTACTTGAAGGCAGTTCCATGTTCTCCGTGGCTGCCCGTGGTATATCTTCAGTACTTGAAGGCAGTTCTGTGTTTTCTGTAGCTGCCCGTGGTATATCTTCAGTACTTGAAGGCAGTTCTGTGTTTTCTGTAGCTGCCCGTGGTATATCTTCAGTACTTGAAGGCAGGTCTGTGTTTTCTGTAGCTGCCCGTGGTTTATCTTCAGTACTTGGCGGGCAGTTCTGTGTTCTCCGTGGCTGCCCATGGTATATTTTCAGTCCTCTTCCAACGATGTCGTTCAGGGACTTCGATTTTCGGTCCGTCGTCTTTTTCACTGTCCCGCTTTCAGATGCATGTGAAGCACTTGGAAATACGGTGGCTTGTGCTGGGCCTACCTCAGTCCGTAGCCTCATCTCCTTGTTTACAGGACTCAAACGAGGTGCTTTGAGCTCATCTGTCCGATGCAGCACACCTTCTGATTCCTAACCGCTGCCACTGGGGATTCCAGTAAAACGAAAGCCACTGACAACTTGAGTCTGTCTTTCCTTTGTCATGATGTGTGTGGATCTAGCTGTGATGATGTTTTATTTATGTTAAGATCTAATCTGTATCTGGCGGCCTAGTGTTAAGGAGCTGCGCTGCAGTCCCCAAGGCACGTGGTTCAAACCCACCAGCTCCTCCAATGGAGAAGGACGGGCCATCTCCTCCTTTGAAAGCCTACTGGAGAGTCAGCTGTGGGTCAGTATTTTTTACTTTGTAAACAGAATCTTTTTTATTATTAATTTCAATGAAAGTTTACAGAGACTTAGGGTTTCCAGTCTTTCATTGTTGTACTTTTCTCCCTGCCCACCCCCTCCCCCCAGTTCACTGTTTTCCTTGAAAAGTAAAAGAAAAACTCTTTCATTGTTAATGCAGTCCCTTCCCCCCAAGTCCACTCCACTATGCAGTCTTCACTCTGGACTCCTGTCATGACAGTAACAATCATATATCCCTTTTAAACAGTTCTCTCCCTCATCTGTTTCAATGCAGTATATATCAGTATATATATCCCCTCCTTTACTGTCTGCCCTCAACCCCGGTGTCAGTCCCATTCTACAACAGTGGCCCTATGCGATATTTGTCCTTTTGTGACTGAGATACTTCACTCAGCATAATGGATAATAACCTCCAGGGTCATCTGTTTTGCATAATATTGCATGAGTTCCTTGTTTTTCTTTTTTATTTTATTTTATTTTATTTTATTATTTTTGTGTGAGTGTACCATCAAATCAGATCTGACTGGTACAGGAGGAGATTGCCCCTCCTTCCCCGGCAGAGCATCTGGTGGATTCGAACCGTGCACCTTTGGGATTATAGTTGCAGCTTCTTGCCACTAGGCCACCAGAGCTCCCCTGAGTTCCTTGTTTTTCAGTGCTGCATGTATTCCATTGTGTGAATATACCACAGCTTCTCTATCCATTCGCTTGCTGATGGGCACTTGGGTTGTTTCCAGCTCTTTGCTATTACGAACAAAGCCGCGATAAACATGGGTGTGCATTGTGGGTCAGTTTTGACTCAGCAGCAAACAACAGCAGTCTATACTCAAGTCTTTGATCTGCACGAGCAGGTGCTTTAAGGCCTCTTTGCTTCCTGCAATCAAGGCCGTGTCCTCTGTACCGGGCGGGGTGCTGCTGCACCTTCTTCCAGTCCTGACACACGTCCTGTCCCGTGCGTTCGGCATCACTGTCACGGCCACTGTGTGTGCCGGGCGCCTTCACATCCTAGGGGCTCAGCTGCTGACACGACATCGGCGTTTGATGACTGATCTGTGGGATCAGATCCCCAGGACCTGATTCCTGTCCTCTGTGAGTCTGTAAGCGCCCCCGAAACCTGCTCACTGTGAGGGACCCTGCTGGCATTTGAACGGCCCACGTCTTAGCTTCTGGCATCCCAGCCTCATGTGGCCAGCTCTGTGTGACTCCTCTCCAGCGTGGCCTGTGGGGCTGAAGCCTCCACGTCTGGAGTGGGAGTGAGACTAATGGAGGTGTGTTGGTCCCCCAAGTGGCTGAGAGGACAACTTGTCCACTTGCAGTGTGGAAGCTGGGTGTCCAGCAGGGCCATGTCCTGTCTCAGGGAGCTCTAGGGGTGATACCTGTCATCCCTGGCTCTGGGGAGTCCAGGCCCTCCATGCTTCACCTCTGTGTCTTCACATGCCCTCCCTCTGTGAACGTCTTCTGTCATAAGGATGTTGTTTATTCTGGGAGATGCCGTGGTAGTACACTGGCTGCCAACCAAAAGGTTGATGGTTCAAATCCACCAGTGTGCTGTAGGAGAAAGATGGGCAGTCTGCCTCTGCTGACAGTACGGCTTGAATAAGCCCGTAGAGCACTTGTGCCGCTCCTGCAGGGTTGTTGTGGACTGATGGCAGTGAGGCTTTTGGGGACTCATTCAGGATCGGGTTTGCCCTCAGCCAGCAAGATGTCATGCTAACGAATGCCAGCTTCACACTCATAAGACAACTGGAGTTAGGACGGGACACCAGTCCACTACAGGAGGGCTTCCGGGTGGCTGTGGACGAGGCTGGGATGTGTCTGACAGTGCAGACCCGACCCGAGTGAGGGAGGCTGTGCAGTGGAAAACACAGGCACTCCGGATTCTATAGCACTTCACAGATAAGACTGTTTTTTATAAACTGAAGGTTGGTGCCAACTCTGTGTCAAGCGTCTGGTGACACCATTTTTCCAGTAATACGTGCTCCCTTTGTGTCCTATTTCAGTCATGTTTTCAAACGTTTGGTTTTGTGGGGTTTTTTGTCGGGCTAGTGCACACTTTAAGAAAGCTCTCGTGGCTTAGTGGTAAGAAACTGCGCTGCAATCCTGAAGGCGTGCAGTTCAAATCTACCAGGTGCTCGGCAGGAGAAAGATGGGCCGTCCCCTCGCAGACAGGTTGACTGCCTTTGAAAACGCACTGAAGGACTCGGCAGCACACACCTGCAACAACAGCTGCACACTTTAATAGACTACATAGCACAGCGTCACTTTCACGTGTTTGGAGAAGCCCAGAGAGCCAGGTGGTTCGCTTTTATCGTTCGTGACCTTTACTGCATTGGTCTGGATTGAACGCACGGTGTCTCCGAGGTAGTTACTGTGTGCCTCTGAGTCGGAACTGGCGCGTAGCTGACCCTCCGGTGGGTTTCAGAGGCTGTGTGTTACACGGGAGGAGACCGCCCATCGTTCTCCTGGTGAATCCCAACTGCCTGCCCTTGGGTTGGCACTGCCTTAAGGTTGGCAGGGGAACCACTGACCTAGAGCAGGGGCGTTCCCGCTCTGAGACAGGATGTATTAATTTTTAGGTTCTTTTTTTTTTCTGTGAAAACTTTCTAATCTTTTTTTTTTTTAATTTAAATTTTATTATTTTTGTGTGCGTGTACCGTCAAATCAGATCTGACTGGTACAGGAGGAGATTGCCCCTCCTTCCCCGGCAGAGCATCTGGTGGATTCGAACCGTGCACCTCTGGGACTGTAGTTGCAGCTTCTTGCCACTAGGCCACCTGAGCTCCCCTGAAAACTTTCTAATCTTAAGCGGCCTTGACACTACACCAACTCAGTGGCCTTCGACAACAACACGCAAAGATCTAGCTTAAGCTGGAACTGACTCGGTTTTAACCGGATCCTCCAGCAGGTTTTTTGGAGACGGCCCATCCGCCTTCAGAGCTGCTGGTGGATTTGAACCACTGGAGAGGGGCTGCCTTCTGAGTTAGAGGAGCAGCTTCCCCGTGGAATAGGCCACCAGAGCTCCCTGAGGAAAAGGCATCTCGGGGCGTAAGTCCTCGGTCAGGTGGGGGTGCTTTCGTCACCCAAAACGGCCCCGGGTCCTGAGGCTCTTGCCTGCAACTTGACCAAGCAAGTGCGTGAATTCCGTTCCACGTGTGAAGTGCTTTGCCATTTCAGACTCCTGCAGAACAGCCACTGGGGTGGAGAGTTGGCATCCCTTAGATGGGAAATTCCCTGCAGAGAGTCCTGAGACTGCACTAGATGATGGGTCTTAGGACCTTAAAGGTTGAGGGTTCTAATCCGTCAGCTGCTCTGTAGGAGGTAGATGGGGCCTTGTCTTCCCGTAAAGATTTACAGCCTCGGTAACCTGAAGCCCTGTGAGTCCTAATGAACTTGGCTTTGGTTTGGAATTCCCACTTCTGGCATGCCAGGTATTTTTGGGATTTTGTGGGTTTTTGTTTTTAAAAGGAAAAATGGGATTTTTTTTTTCTTGTATGCTCTCTGCGCTTCCTTTTGGAGATTTCAGGTTCAGATGCTGTTCCCACACCCTGTGGATTCAGCATGGCAGGAGCAGGGGACTCACTGTTGAGTTGCTAACTGAGAAGTTAATGGTTTGAGCCCACCATCCCCTCCACAGGAGACAGACAGGCTGATCTGCTTCCCTGAAGGTTATAGCTCGGGATGCCCTTCCCCTAGGGTTTTGGAATCAAGCTTACTGATTTAGATTCAGAAGTTGAAAAGCAGCACCATGGCCAAGTGGCCTACAGGTGGCCCTTGCTTCATAGTGGGGGGCAGTCTTAGCTGGGGTCTCACGATCAGAGCAATCATTGGTACCCACCCTGTTTCAAAGTCATGACACTGTTCATCAGTGACCTTGCTCCAACCCTCTGTTTTCCCATCTATAAAACGGGTATCATAGTAGCACCTCCTTGGCTCCTAAGGTGTTGAGTAGGTTTTCAGAGAAGGTTGTGGGATGGGGCCCGGGTGTACAGGTGAGGGCTGGAGCATTGGTGCCAGGGGAAACCAACCTGGTCGCCTTGTCTCTTGGGGCCCATCTTGACCACTGGTCCAGAGAGGGAAAGAAGAAAGGGATCTGTTGTCATTGGAAGAGAAGGCTTTCTGATGGCCCAGCTTCACAAGCTGCCCAAGTGTGAATCCCGGCTGGGGTAGCAGGACCCCTCTTCCTGCGATCACTCCAGATACTCTTGTTGGGGGGTAACCCTGCTGTCCTCTTGCCCACCATCTGTAGGACTGAGTCTCCCCACCAGCCCTGGTCCTGAAGGTGGGAGCCGGGTGTGGGGTGACTGCCAGCTTCCCGGGGGGGGGGGGGGGGGGACGACGACACACATGACAGGCCGTAGCCACTTATCCTCCTGCAGGTTTGGACCCTGCCGTTTGTGTCCCACTCGCATTTCCCGGTAATCCTCCACTTTAAAGGAAGCAGGTGGGCACAGCGCCAGGCCCGCCACCGCCCTCGGCTGAAGTCAGTTCTTGCCGCCTCGCTGGCCACCCCACTGCCTCCAGCGGGCACTGACAGCTCTCCCACCCCGGGAGGCCATGACCCTGCAGGCTGTGTCCCCAAGCAGGCCCCGGGGGGACGGGCGCAGCGGCTCCCCAGACCCAGGGAGGCCAGTTCCACAAAGCCAAGGGGGGGACCCTCAAGAGCTCCCTGGAATGTCCTCATTTTTCCTGGAAGCCGCCTTGAGCAGGACAAACAAATCCATTTTCAAAGGCGCTGCAGCGGGTGACTCACTCGCAGGAACGCCCTCCCGCCCGCCCGCTCCCACACCCCCGGCTTTAATTGCTCCGATGGGCGGTGCCCGCGGGCCGGCCAGGGCAGGCGCCCCGGGAGCGCGGCCGGAGAGCTGGGGCACCCCCTCGGCTCGGCCCGGCCTCACGCCGCCCCCCCTTCCCCGCAGGTTCATGCAGCACCCCAAGAACTTCGGCCTGATCGCATCCTTCCTGGAGCGGAAGGTGAGTGGGGATCCATCCCTGTGAGCCCCCCCTCGCGCCCCAGGCCTTTCCACCAGCTCGTGCGCACCCGGCACGGGGACCCCCCCCACCCCGCCCTCCTTCCTGGTCGCCCCGCTCTGGCCTTGGGTCTCTGCTCCCCCTTTCCTCCTTCTCCTGCTCTCTCTCTCCCTTGTTTCTGTCTTCCCTCCTTCACCCACCTCCCTCCCTGCCGGAAATGGCCTGGCAGGTCCCGCCTGGCGCATGTGCACACGGGGCGGAGCGCGCTGCTGCTGGTATTGGTGAAACCCCTAACCCCGTGTGTGCTGCCTTCTCGCTGTGTGCCAGGCCCCCTTCCCAGCGCCAGCCCCCCCGCCAGCGCCTCGTACGTGGTGTCCAGACGAGCTCGGGGCGGCTCCTGGAAGTGATGTAGCACCCGGCTTCCTAGTTATGGCTCTACAAGGCCTTCTGCAGGGCACTGGGTTAGGATGCCCTGCCATACCTTACTGTGGTCTGTTAACACCTTCATGGCAGGCCAGGTGTGAGGTTGCCAAGGTCCTGTCCCTTTGGACAAACCTTCACTCGTTGTACCTTCAACGTTGAGCCCTATCTTACCCCAAGCCAGAGCCTAGATGGGACTGCCCTGGCTCTGCCCACGCCAGGCACAGCCTGAGTGGGAAGGAAGCCTCTTGGGTCCCCAACATGACTGCACCAGCGACCTGCACCTGGACGGGAGAGGTGTGGGAGGGCAGAGGGGGCTGGAATGGAGAGGCAGATGTGGAGTTGGCACAAGGAACCTTCTGGAAGCAGCAGGCAGGAGGAAGGTTTTCTGCACCTGCATTACCTTCGGGGGGGGGGGGGCTGCTTTTGCTGTGGGGATTGATGCCTGGGAGATGGAGTGGTGTTCTGGATGCGGCCCTCTGATGACCCCTAGCCTTTCTTCACTGGAGAAGAATGAGAGGCTGGCTGGGAGCAGGATCGGGGTATCGGGGACCTGCTGATACCCATGGAATGGGGAGGTGGACAGTGGGGGACTATCCCATCATGCTGAGAAGCCAGTATCAGCCTTTCTTTTCTGAGTACACACTGCCTTGCGGGCAGTTCACTGACTGAGGAGGATTCTGGTAGTCACAGGCGGTGGAGCTGCTCATTGGGCAGTATTGCTTAAGAGTAAGGGGGTCACATATTCACTCAATGTAAACAGAAGTCCAGGAGGACATTTAGGTGGTCCTTCTGGAAGGTTCTACCGGGGCAGGGGGGGCCGGCTACTGTCTTGAGAGGTGTGTCCTGAATCCTGATGAGGGAATTCCACAGTGGATTTAGCAGCAGAGTGATCTGCAAACCTGAATCCTGTCAAAAAGGGGTCAGGGCAGGCTGTGGGCCTCATCACCCTGAGAAAGTGGGTCTCCAGCGCTGGGCAGAGATAAGCAAGATAGAATCCTTGTCTGAGCCACAGATGTTGGCACCTGACTGAAATCTTGAGCATTTGTGACCTCCTTGTGAATGCTGTGAATGGTCTATTAGTGTCCCATTTCACAGAGGAGAACACTGAGGCCCCAGAGAGATCAGGCTACTCACAGTGGGCTTGTAAGGGAGCTGGACAAGCTGCTGGGCCCACAGCGTTTCCCGTTTCTCTGGCAGACGGTGGCTGAATGTGTCCTGTACTACTACCTGACCAAGAAGAATGAGAATTACAAGAGCCTGGTGAGACGGAGCTACCGTCGCCGAGGCAAGAGCCAGGTGAGCGTGCTATCTGAGGTAGTTTCCTCTTGTTCTACTTCCCCCTGGTGGAAAACCCTCTCTGGGGTTTTCACCCAGACTCTGTTCATTGCTCCCAGCAGTAAGTGAGAGAGCTGGGGAGACACGGCCACTTCTGTTCTCAATCTAGAAGACTCGGAATTTCTGTGGTCCCCACTGCCAAAGAGGGAACACATCAGCGGGCGGGCAGGTGCTCAGGGTGACCAGGGTGTGTGTGAGAGAGAGATTGGGGGAAAAAAAATAAGCTGGCACTTCAGCTTGCAGTTGCTAGATACTATTGCTTAGGATGTGAATGAAGAGTTGGGGTTGGCAGCCTTCAACTGGCCCTTTGCTTTTTCCAATAAAGTTTTACTGGCATGCAGCCATGCCCATTTATTTATGTTCTGTGCCTGCTTTTAAGTTACAGCAGAGCTTTGTGGTTGTCATAGAGACCTGTATGGTCTGGAAAGCCTAAAACACTTCCCTGCTGGTGCTTTACAGAGAACACGTGGTAAATCCTGAATTGGCCAAAAGGAATTAAAAAAAACCAAAAACACAACAACAAAACACCAACCCACCCGCAAAACTCCATAAATGATGGTAAAGGTGCAGGCCACACTTTAAAGGGTTTTGGAGTACTTGGTAAGGTGCCAACTGCTAACTGAAAGGCCCGTTCCAATCGGCCAGGGGCTCCCATAACGATCCACAGCTTTGGGAGCCTGATGGAGGGTCATCAGGAGTCATATTGGACTGGACAGCAGTGGATACTTGGAAGGAACCCGGGTGGCGGAGTTAATTGAGCTTTGGAGCCCAATGGGAAAGATGCGCCTGGAAGCCCCAAGGACCAGTTCTCCCCTGCCTTGCGGGTTGCTGGGGGTCAGAGCCTCGGAGAACAGCGGGCCTGGGTTGGTGGCGATCGCAGGTGGGACAGATCAGGCACCATTTATGGCCCATGAGAGCAGCACCGGGCATCGTGGAAGGAGGCAGGATTCATGGAGGATCAGAGTGGGTGCCGGGCTGGAGGGAATGGTCATTTCCTTTCCGGGGGGGAGGGGATAGTGGGGCGCTGTGACCTGGGGAGACAGGTCAGAGAGGTTCAGGACCAGCATGCTTGCGTGCGGGAACCCTGCACTTTCATCGGCCAGAGCTCCGCCATTGACATCCCGGCTGCACCAGGCCCGCCACCTTCCCAGAATGCTCTGTGAAAGTGGCCCGGCCCCTTGTGATGACCTGCCGGTCCCGCATTGGTGTACTCTCTACGGGAGTCCCGCCTCCTCCCGGGGAGTGTTCCAATGGAGCACCGAGATTCTCCCGGAAGTGTGCACTAGAATAAACGACCCTCCACATCCTGGTGTTTGGCGTTGGTGTCCCCGGAATGAGCATCCCCCGTCAGCATCTCTGAAGGTCCCCACATTTGGTCCGTGGTCGGGTGTCCCCCAGTTGGCGGACTTGTTCAACTTTAACAGATTGGTTAAACTAAGCTTTAGAGGCATAAAACAAGTCAGATTCACGGCTGTGCATCCAGTTCCAACGTAGCAACCTCAGAGGGCAGAGTAGACATGCCTTGTAGCGTTTTCACAGTGGACTTTGGCGTTAGCAGCCAGTTGCTTGAAGTCCTCCTCTTAGGGGGCCCTTGGCTTGGCACGCCACTCTTCTATTCCTGAGATTTGACTGTGGCATTTAAGACATGGAAGAACACATGAGAATTTTCTACCCTGAGAGGTGGAGAGCAGAAATGGGCCAAAGCAGGATAGAGTGATGGAGACTATGGCAAAATAACAGTCCCATACTGACCCCGCAGGGTCCTTGGGGTCTTTTTTTTGGACACCCCTGTAAATAATGCTGCAATGAGATTTTCCTAGTTGCAGTGCCTTGTTCAGTAATGATCTTTCTCTGTTCCAAATCGGAACTTTCTGTTGTTGTTGTATACGGTTGCATCAGATCCAGCTGGCACGAGAAGAGATTGCTCCTCCCCTCCAGCGGAGCATCTGTTGGATTCGAACCATGTTCCTTAAGGATTGCAGCGCAGCTTCTTGCCACTAAGCCACCAGAGCTCGCTTCTCTGTTTCAGTCTGAACCTCGAAAGTGGTGCCTATTGGAATACTCACGTGCCTCTGTGGATGTGGTGGTGGTTGTGACAGTGGACATGAGCCTTCACATTGACCCTTCCTGTCCACACACTCTGTCCCTCCTTGGAGCTGGGCTCAGACCCTCCCAGCACTGCCCAGGAGTCCCCAGAGTGCCCCAGTTGCCTTTTTGTTTGGCTGTTCACCATCAAGAAGCTTCTCTGCATGCTGACAGAGGACGTCTAGGTCCCCAGGTCCAGGCAGGGATTTTTGGAGTGCAACCCCTTTGCGCCCACCCTTCTGGGACCCCATTCCACCTCCCATTGGTGCTCAGGCCCTGAACCTGTAGGTCCGGTTGCTTTCAGCTTGGCCTCGAGCCAGCCTTCTTGCCTGCCCCCTGGCCCTGAGCCAGTCCCTCCGTGACGCACAGTTCAGAGCACAGGGTTTGTGACTCACCGGTGAGGGTCCAGGGACGCTGTGGCCAGTCGAGGGACCAGCTGCCTGCGTGCGGGCAGATGCCTGACGTGCCTGGCTGTAATGGGGGGCCCATGCTGCCACCGGAGCGTACCCTTGGGGGTGAGTCCTGCCCTGTGTCCCTTCGCCCAGTGTGTCCCTAGGCCTGTGTGGCAGTGGTGGAGAGGAGTTTGAGCTAGAGTCTCTTAGCATCCTCTGTTTCTGGGGATGGTACACAGCAAAGGAAGAGTCAGCGCTCTGTCCTGCTTCCCTCGGCTGCTGCCCTGAGGTTAGACTTTGAGGGGGAATTTCTCCCCCTCAGCCTCTGGTTCTGCTGGCCTGGCACCACTCCGCCTGCCTGGGCCCTTCTCCTGACTCTCATCCTCCCCTTTGCACTCTCTTGGCTTCCCTCTCTGCCTGTGTCTCCTGTTACTGAACAGTGTGTGTCCCCTCTCTGCCTCAGTTCTCTGTATTGCTGTTTCTTTTGTTTCTCCCTCTGTGCCTTGCCTCCATCTCCTCCACGGCACTTCCACACACTCTTCTGTGTCTCTCTGGGCCCCCATCTCCTGCGTGCCCCGCCCTGCCCCTCTGACATTGTCCTCTTTCCCTGCCGAGGGATGGGTGACCTTTCTCAGGTGGCCATAGAACACCGAGGTCCTGGCTTCGGCAGTTCACTCGGGGGCATTGTGACCGGGGGCTGTGCCGTCTGTGACATGACCTGACAGCTCATTCAGTGACGCTGGCGGGGACGTCCAAGGGGATGTCTGGCTGCCGGACACGGCCATGTGGCTGCTCCTTGGCCCAGTTGAGCTGCTCTTGTCTCACCAAGGCTTGGGGGGACAGGCCTGTGGAAACGCTGCTTTCTGCTCTGCGGGGTGTAGGCTGGTGGTGGGATTGTGTCCAGATGTGAGGCCAAGAGGAGCAGATGTTTGTGATCTGGTCCAGCTGTGTATTTAGAAGGACGCTGGACAGGGTGCCTCCAGGCTCTTGGTCCACTTTGGCTCAGCTGTGGGTGGGCAGCCACCAGGAGATGGGAGGCTGGAGGACAGAGCTTGGTGGGAAAAGCCAAGTGGGGCCTCCTGTGGGCCAGGACGTGGGAGGCAGTCCCAGCCTTCTAAGCTGACCATGTCAGAGGGACAGAAGGGGCTGGATACTGAGCCAGGTTCTCTGATTATGGTCAGAGACGTGGGGTGCATGGGAGTGTCTGTTTGGGCCACCACGTCAGGAAGCCTGTCTAGAAGCGTGGCATTGCTGTGGGCTGCTCTGAACCAGGGAGTGCTGGGGAATGTTAGTGTCCTCATTTTAGAAGATTCTGTCTGGGTGTACTCTAGCCAGAGGATGTCATTGCTCCAGAAGATTCTGCTGGAGACCCCTCTAACGCTTGCAGTCAGGGAGCCACGTTTGGGTCCTCATTCTAGAAGATTCTGCTGTAAATGCCCTCGCAGGGAGTGACAGCCATGTTGGTCCTGTTGCTGTGTCATCGATCCTTCAGAGAATACGGCACATGAGTTCCCAGGAGTGACACACTCGAACGTGGACGTGCTTGAGTGGATTGATGTGGTCACCTAGGTGGTGACAGACAGGGCGGGGGCCGGGAGAGTCATTTGAAGTGGTGAGTAGGGAGGTAGCCAGGTAGCTTGGTCGATCAGGAGGAAGGCAGGTCAGTTGGCTGGTAGTAAGTTGGTTGGTAGGAAGACATGTTGGTAAGTGGGCAGGTGGGAAAGCAGGCAGGTGAGCAGGCAGGTTGGTGAGTAGGTGGGCAGGAAGGTTGGTAGGCAGGTTGGTGGGTAAGTGGGCAGGCAGGCAGGTTGGTTCTAGACAGGTAGGCGGGTAGGGATAGCTGGGCAGACAGGTTGTCAGGTAAGTAGGCAGGCAGGTTGGTAGGTAGGCAGGTGGGAAGGCAGTTTGGTAGCAGGCGGGTAGGTGGGCAGGCAGATTGTCGGTTAAGTGGGCAGGTAGGTAGGCGGGCAGGCAGGCTGGTGGAAGGAAGGGTGGTGGGTGATTACCTGCCATTGCGTTGACCTCGGCCTGTACTTTGAACCACAGAAGGAAGTGTTTCGTTGTCTCCACAGTCACCCCATCTCCTACCTTCTCCGTCAAGCCCAGCATCCTTCTGTCCCTCTCTGTGCCTGAAACCAGGAGTCCGTCAGCACTCTGGAATGTTCTGTGTGGCTGACTGTAGCCAGTTTTAGGAAGTTGGTCACCTGGCCTTTGTTTCTAATCTTTCTTAGTCTGGACACTCGGCTGCAGCCTGTCCACTATGGGTGGCCTTGCTGGTGGTTGTGACACTGGGGGTACAGCTCCCCATGTCACAGACCCTGCACACCCCTGCAGTCGGACACACTGACCGACCGATGGGAGGTGGGGTGTTGAGCAGAGGTGTGAGGTGTGTGACCCTCGTCTCACAGGGGGGTGTCACCATGAGCACCACCCAAGGCGGATGTCTGTGAAGCGGGGAGCCGCCCTCTGCCCACTTCAGCTTCACTGACCCCAGCAGCCCACCCCGTGGTGCTCTGTCCTCTGCCGTGTTCAGGATTTCATCTCGGCGGCCGCACAGGACTGACTCACAGACTCCGTTCCCGGCCATGGCTTCATTAGGAGCTTGTCAGGGCCAGGGATCTGTTTGTCCTTGTCCCCCCGCTGGCCTGGCCACGGTCCTGCTTGGACAGTCATTGGACAGGATCTTATTCTCAGCTCATCTGCTCAGGCCTTGCTGAGTGGCTGTCATACCACAGTGTGGCACGGCGGTGGTGAGCCGTGTGGCGGAGATGTCCCTGGGCTTGGACAAGCGGAGGAACATTCTGGAGGCACAGTACGTGCCAAGGCCCTGGGGCAGGAGCCGACAGTGAAGGGAGGAGCAGGCCTGGGAGGGGGTGACGGAGCCAGCCCTGGGTCAGCCAGCGCGGGGGTTCAGGCCGCTGTTGTGGTCCACGAGGTGGGGCAGGGCACAGTTCACCGTTTAAAGCCACCCATGTCACAAGGACACCCTGACCTCCCGAGCTCTGAATGCCACTCGTGTTCTGCTGACCGCACGGACGCCGTGCTGTACTTAAAAACGCTGAACACCAGCGTGCCGGGCCCCGGGCCAGCCCAGGACTGTAGCCGTGTCCTCTCCCCAGTATTAACGCTCCCACCACCGAGGCTCCAGGCTGTTCTCGTGACACTGTGGATGGTGCATCCTGGGAGGGGTGTGCTGGTACAACCCCTCCTGCAGGTAGACTTGGCACAGATGATGGCGGGAGCCTAGGTTGTTAGCTGCCGGGAATGGTTCTGACTGGGGTCCACACCACACGTGGCACACCAGCCCCAGGCCCCGCTGTACTCGTTCAGGGTCCTCATGTGTCCCACTGACTTTAGCAAGCGTGACATCTTCCTCTAGGGACTGTCCTCCCCTGATGACCTGCCTGGAGTGTGTAAGACCAACACTTCACGCCCACACTTGTAAGGAACACTTAGTGCATTTTTCCCAGTACAGATCTGTCTGTCCTCTGAACTGTTCTTGTTGGGTCCCGTCGGTTCGGTTCTGATGACCCCGTGTGTGTCAGAATCAAGCCCTGCCCAGCCCTGCTCCGTCCTCCCAGCCTCTGCTGGGCTAAGCCCGTGTTAGGCAGTGTGTCCATCTGTCCCATTCTCGGGTTCTCTCTCCTGAGGAGCACGCTGGCTGTATCTCTCTCAAATCAGATTGTTCCTTCTTGTCGTCCACGGTAAACTCACTACTTTTCCCTGTATATTTCAAAGGCGTCGATCCATGCTTGGCCAGTCTCCTTTATTTCAGTGTTCACAGGAGAAAGAAAATACTGACTTGCATCAGGCACACCTCAGTCTTTAACCTGACATCCAAACCGCAGGGCCGTCGAGTGGGAATTGACCCGTCCGTGTCCGTGGCTGACCCTCCCACGGGGTTTCAGAGGTTGTAAATCGTAGGGGAGAAGGTTGCCATCCTTCTCCCTCTGAGCATCTGGCGGATGCGAACCTCCTGCCTTGGAGCTGCCAGCGTGGCTCCTTGCCCACTGGGCCACCGGTGTTCCCGTCACGCCGAGACTGTGACCTGTGAGAGCAGTCCTCGGGAGCGGTCCTACCCGGCTCAGTGCGTCTCAGGAGGTCTCGCCTGCTTCTGCAGCGGCTCTCGGTTGCGGGCCCCTGACAGCCTCGGTCTTTTGTCCTTCTGTCGTGTCGTTTGTGGTGTGTTTTGTGAGGAGTCTTGTTTTCTCCCCGCCGAGCTGATCGTGTTGAAGTCCTTGGTGGTGAGGACTGAGTCGTGATTGGTGCTGTAACTCGCTCAGCTCTTGTGTGACTCTGCTCCATTCAGTTTTGAGTCACAGACGTGAGTGACACCTGCTCTCAATTCTTGCGCACACCTTTCCGAGGGCCTGTGACCGGCTGGCCCTGATGACACTGCCTGCATTCGTCCTGGAGGGTAGCTCTGGGGGTGGGGCCACATGACTGCTTAGTCCTAGGCTGACTCTGGACCTGGACCCCTCCTCAGCCTCCCTGCCCTGGGTTCCTGTGTTGGGGTGTGGAGTCCCTGCGATCCCAGGTTCTTGTGTGGGGGTGTGGGGTCCCTGTAACTGCACGCCTGGACTCCTCTTCACACCTTCCTGGTGTTCCTGGCAAGGGTTGTGGAGGTTCCTGTGACCCTGGGCCTGGACTCCTCCTCAGTCTCCCCAGGGTCCTGTGCAGGGATGCGGCCTCCCTGTGGGCGTCAGGCCTGAGCTGGCATCTCCCTTTGATCCACCTGCAGCCTGAGGCCCTCGCTGTGGTGCTAGGACTTGTCTTCCAGTACTAGCACAGCTGTGGGATGCTGGGATGGCCACACCCTTCAGGAGGGTGGGAAGTGGGGGCCTCCTTTCCCTCTGGGTGTCATGTCAAGGATGAGACAGCCAGGCCCGGTGTTGGATGTCTGTTGGGAAGTGGCTCTGGTGCTGATGGGGGCTGGTTGCCTGAGGGCTTGGGGGATGCGGGGCCCCACTGGCCAGACCAGGTGAGGGCAGTGGGGCTGTGGTGGTGGAGAGGGGACCTGGCATCGAAGTAGGTGCAGAACTTGCGCTCTGGGGCAGAGTCAGGTGTGCGATGGGAGTTCCTGAGCACCAGCACTGCCTGTGTGTACACGCAGCCCCCACCTGGCGCCCGGGTTAAGGCGAGGCTGTGCTGGGTGCCATGTGCTGTGAGGGTGAAGGAAAGGTGAGGAGGTCCTCTCCCTCCTGCCTTCACCTGCTTTACCTCTTTCTGGCTCTGGAAGTTGCGTCCACTGTCTGCCTGGTCTGCGGGGAGAGAGGACGTGGTGTATCTGTTTCCTGTGGCTCAGCGGGGATGGGAAGGTGGTCAGGTCGGGCCATTGCCTGCAGGGGAGACGAGAAGGTGACCAAACAGGGCAGAAAGAGGCTGGGGGCAAGTACAGGTGTCGGGGTAGTGGGAGCTGGGGAGCAGAGCTGGCGGGGCCTCAGGACCAGACTGGAAAAGGAGGCCGCTGTGCCGGGAACCTCCCTGACCCTGTGACACAAGCCTCCTCTTGCACTGTCGTCATAGCAACAAGCTATGAGGGACCCAGGGTCTCCTCATCTTCCCGCTTCACAGATTTGGAAACTGAGGCTCAGAGAGGTGGCCTACACATTACAGGGTCAGGCAGAGGGGCGCCTCTGAGCATCCCATGCAGCCGTGTTCCCAGGGTGACCCCTGTTTTTGCCACGCCGTGATGATGGGGCTGGTTCTCGTCTCCACCTCCCAATCGCACGTGCTGTGGGCAGGCCGTACGTGTCGGCTCCCGGGGGCCCAGGGTGGCAAGCAGGAACCCCTCCGCACGTCACACGGCCGCTCGGTGGAGGACGGGGACAGAGCCTGGGGTGTTGGTCCCGACATGGCCCTGTGGTGGACATTCCCAGGCCGGTGGGCCCCCGCCGTCCCATCCCGCTCGGCCCAGGTGTACAGGGGGCGGTGCCTCACCCTCCTCTCCCCTCCCCCCGCCCGGCAGCAGCAGCAACAGCAGCAGCAGCAACAACAACAACAGCAGCAGCAGCAGCAGCAGCAGATGCCCCGGAGCACCCAGGAGGAGAAGGAGGAGAAGGAGAAGGAGGCCGAGAAGGAGGAGGACAAGCCTGACGTGGACAATGACAAAGAGGAACTCGTCAAGTAAGGCGGGGGCCGCGGCCCGGGCCTCGTCCCTCCCACCCCGACCCCGTAGGCTGCGCTCGCTCGCTCGCGGTGACTGGAGCTCTCTGCCCAGTGCCACGTCCCCCTTGGCCAGGGCTCCTGAGACTCAGAGAGGCGAACGTCAGGGGGAGGGCCCCTCACCTCTAGAATTATCTCTGTCAGCGTGAGATCCTGCAGATGGAGCCTCTCCGGGGCTGACAGCTCCACCAGCCTCCGCGGGCTCAGGGCCAGCTGCAGGTGCACAGGGGCGGGCGCCCGCACCTCCAGGGAGCCCCCAGTTCATCCTGAGAACATCTGGCTTCAGCGCCGCCCCCCATCGAGTCTGCACAGCCCTTCTGGGTGATGGGTGGGAAAGCAAGGTGTTAAATCCTGTTGGCCCACAGTAAAACTCACTCCGGAGCCCCAGGACCCCACAGAACGGCTCTACCCACATCCAGCAGGAGAGACCCTTCATTTAATCTTCAGAGCCCCGAGGCTGTGGTGATCCCAAAAACAAAGGTCTCATTGGTGGAGGCGCCTGGACGGAGGCAAACCTCCAGTCTTAGTGTGTCCAGGCCCTCTGAGTGCTCCTCCCCTGTGGAGATTAGAGGGGGGCCACAGACAACGCTTCTGGCAGATAGAGCTGGCCCTGTTAACCAGCTGTACAGTAGCTTGCAGCCAGCGCCCTGCCAGAGAGGAGAGGGGCCAGATAGCAAAGCTCCCATGTCCCCCTGGGGTGAGTGGTCTGGTCACCCAGCAGCTCCCCGCCCACACCTCCTCAAATGAGCGGTGGCTGACAGTTGACATTACTTGTCCAGGTGCCCAGGAGGCCACAGAGGTCCGGGTGCAGAGTCCCAGAGTGGCTGCAGCCCAGCTAAAGGCATTGCACCCCTCTCGCATCCCTTTCCTGCCCTCCCAGGGGTCTCACCCTCTTCCCTGCCCTGTTCCTCAGGGAGAAGACAGATGACACATCAGGCGAGGACAATGATGAGAAGGAGGCAGTGGCCTCCAAGGGACGCAAAACCGCCAACAGCCAGGGGCGACGCAAAGGCCGAATCACACGCTCCATGGCCAACGAGGCCAACAGCGAGGAGGCCGTCACCGCACAGCAGAGCGCCGAGCTGGGTGAGTGGGGGCCGGCTCGAGGGTGACACGGGCCGACCCGGGGGACGGAGTGACGGTCTCGCCCCAGGCTGGGACGTCAGACTTGTCCCTCCTCCTGCGTGCTTCAGGGAAAACTCACAGCTCCAGCTGTTTCAGTTGGCCGCCCAGAGATTTAATAATTTACACAGTGAAACCAAGTCTCTCTTGAAGGCTAGGATTTTGAAACTCCACCTCAATTACTTTGGACACGTGGCCAGGAGAGATTGGTCCTTGGAGAAGGACACCATGCTCGGAAGGGTGGACGGACAGCACAGGAGAGGGAGACACTACATGAAAGGGATTGATACAGTGACTGGGGCAATGAGGGTTTGTGTGTCAGAATTGGTGAGACTGGCTCAGGACAGGGCAGGCTTCAGAGCTGCTGTACATTGCAGGTGACTCAATGGTACATTAAAATGATAACGTACTATTATGTATTGTATTATTATTATTATTATTATTGTTACTTATTATTATATAACAAACATACAGGTTTGGAAGCAGGACTGGCATCCACTTCCTAAATAGCATGCCTCTGGAAACTCCATGAATTTTGATAATGTCGATAGTTGTAGAGGGGCTTCAGACCTTTTGTTTGTAGGGTCGCTATGAGTCGTGCTCGACTCAAAGGCAGTCAACACTAACAACTCCCAGGGACACCCCTTACTTCCCCAAAGCTGGTGGACTGTTAAGTAGTAGTTCTCTGGCTTTACCACCAGAGGGCAACCAATGTGTGTCTGTCTGTCCAGGTCTGACTGGGGCTAGCCTGCTGCCTTGACCCCTGCCTGCCTCGCTGAGGCCCTAACATTAAAGTTCCTTTCAGGCCTTGACGGGGGTGCTGCTCTGCCCTCTCTGTGCCCTTTGGGGGCCCGTGCCCGCCCACGAAAGGTGGTTCTGACCTGTTTGATAGGCAGGCCCCTGGAGGCTTAGAGAAGGGGCGAGGGCTTCCCGCAGTCTGTGTGTGTTGGGATTGGAACCCAAGTCCCCAGCAGCTCTGGTATTGGTGGCCACCCTTTGGTGCCACGGTGCCTGGACACCCAGACTGAAGGCTCCTTCACGCGCACTGGTCTGGTCTTGGGGACCTTCCTCTATCCCTCCAGCTCTGAAATAGGAGGCAGAAAATCCAAACCCAGATCCTCTAACAGACCCTTCCCATACCCCACCCCCCACCTGGGGGCAGGACCACCTCCACTCTCTCAGCTCCAGGGACTGGGTCCGCCCCACCCCAGCTGGAAGCTTCCCCCTCCCCACGGGGCTCCACCAAGCACTCTGTACCTGGTACTGGTCCAGGAAGTGTCCCTCATGTGGTCTGAGGTGCCCAGAAGGGCAGGACCAGAGCTCCGGTCTGGGGCAACTCGGGAGAGGGCTCAGCTCAGTGTCCATCCCCGCTGATGACACAAGGGGCCGTCCTTACCCTGGGCAGAGCCCGGGACGTCCCTGCCCTGTAAAGGGGGTCTCAGCCAAGCACTGAATCCCCAGGGGACAGGTTGGCTGTCACAGCTGAGTGTAGGCCAGGGCAGCGTCCTGCAGGATGCTGGATGGCTGTAACGGAGCCTGCTTGGGCTCAGACAGATTGATGGTCTGCTGGGGTCTTTGCCCACCTGCTGCTTACGTCCCCTCCCCTGGGTCCCAGGACTCCTAACTGCACCTTCTCCTGGAAGTGCAGGGAGCTATCTCCGTGGGGCCCTTACCTGTCGGGAGCCTCAGCTTCCCCACCTGTACAATGGGTGGTTACAGACTCCCTGGCTCACCCAGCACCATAGGTCCCTCCCCTCCCAAACGTCCCCTTCCCCCCAGAAGTACACGCGGACGGAGTTCTCTCAGTGGGGCCCCTACCTGTTGGGAGCCTCAGCTTCCCCGCCTGTACAGTGGATTGTTCCAGACTCCCCAGTGCTCACCCAGCACCCTGGGCCCCTGCCCGCGGCCCCCCCACCACCGGGCCTGCTAGATGTATGTACAGGCAGAGGGAGCTCTCTCAATGGAAGCCTTTAGTTGTTGGGAGCCTCAGTTTTTCCACTTGTACAACGGGTATTCACAGACACAAACCCCCAGTGCTTACCTAGCACCTTGCGCCCCTGGCCCCCCAGACTGCCCCCCTCCCCTCAGAAGTGCACACAGAGGGAGCTCTCCCAGTGGGGGCCCTTAGCCGTTGTGAGCCTCGGCTTCCCACCTGTACAGTGGGTGATCAGAGACCTCCCCAGTGCTCGCCCAGCTCAGCATGATGGGCATTGGGACAGGGCCGCCACCGGGGCATCCCAAGGAGCAGCAGTGAGGCTTGACCCGCCCCAGCTGAGCGAGGAGGGCGCTGTCACCTGGACCGCCACCAACCGCCCATGTCTTCTTCCAGCCTCCATGGAATTGAACGAGAGTTCCCGCTGGACCGAGGAGGAGATGGAGACGGCCAAGAAGGGTAAGGGTTCCGGTCCCGCGGTCCAGGCCTGCCTTCCGCTGTGCGGGGCCAGGCCCGGTGTGGTCTGGCGGGGCGGGCGCTGGCCCAGCCGCCGTGTGCTTGCTCGTTGCAGTTCGGCTCCGAGCGTGTCCTCAGGGGGTCTCAGGCACAGTCCATGCTGTGTGTGGTCCGCTGGGGTAGCCGTGGTGGTCACGTTTGCGTGGCTGGGCGCCGTGGGGGGAGGTGCAGAAGTGGCAGCGGTCACTGTGTGCGGTCGCAGGCCCAGTGAGACCAGCCGAGACTGCCAGTTTTCACAGGGCACAACCAAGGTCCTGTAGATCCTGGGCTGGAATGTTCTGGAATGCGACTCCAGGAATTGTGTCCCATTGGAACGAGCCGACGGGGACCCCGTGGGGCGCTGAGCCAGGGTGCTGAGGTGACGTGTATCAGGGCTTCGTCTCTGTCTATGACCGGAGTACTGGTCCGTCTCAAAGGAGCTTTACAGCACAGAAAGAGTTGGGCTACTAACCAGAAGGTTGGTGGTTCAAACCCACCAGCCTCCCCCAGGGTGGAAGGTGAGGCTGTGAGCCTTTGTAAAGAGTTCCAGTCTCGGAAACCCTACTGTGCGGTGGGTCGCTGTGACTTGGTGTGGACTTGCCGGCAGCCAGGTTTGGGGGCTGTGGGTGCAGAGCCTGCGTTTGGTTCACCTGTGGCAGGCTTTGACCTTGCACCACTGTAGGCAGCAGCCCGTGAACGTGTGTGGGAGCGCCCGTCTTTAACCACGTGCCTGCCCGGGGTCAGGGTCCTGTTGATGGTGGCATTGCCTTGGGGGGCGGGGGGACTAATGGCTCTGGTGGCTGTTTCAGCATCGGACCCTCCAGCCCCACCCCCTCCCTGCCCCCTCGGGAGTCTTCGTCCTCAGCATGGCCTCTCCCTGCAGAAGGACAGCCTCGAGGGGCACAGTGGGCAGAGAGGAGTGATGGAGAGTGTCCCCTAAGGGTGGGTCCTCCTAGCCAGCTGAGATGGAGTGTGTCGCCCCTCAAGGTGGGTCTTGTCGACCAGCTGAGATGCAGTGTGTCCCCCCTGAAGGCGGGTCCTCCTAGCCATCTGAGATGGGAGATTGTCCCCCCTCAAGGTGGATCCTTCTAGCTGGCAGGATGGAGAATGCCCCCCTCAAGGTGGGTCGTCCCAGCCAGCAGGATGGAGAGTGTCCCCTCTCAAGGTGGGTTCTTCTAGTCAACAGGATGGAAAGTGTACCCCTCAAGGTGGGTCCTGTCAACCAGCTGAATTGGGAGTACCCCCTCGGGGTCAGGTCCTCCCGGTGGCAGTGAGATTACCTGGTCTCTCTGTGCTGCTTCCGCCGACCTGCCTGGCAGGAGCAGCCCCCGTGCTTCCGGCTGGGGGGGCGGGGCCGTGCACACCGGCGTGCTCGGTGACATTTGGGGGGATACGCAGCGCCCCGGCGAGCCGTCTGCCAGGGATGACAGCAATCTGGACAGTTACGGCGGGAGGCGGCGCGTGGCTCTGTGTGCCAGGCGGCAGCGGGGGCAGATCGGAGGCAGGTGCTGGCGGCCCCCAGCAGCTCTGCCTGACCAGCAGGTGGGGGTGGAAGCCAAAGGTTCCAGATCTCGGAAAGTCAGAGATGTGAGACCCCAGAGCCAGCTGTGTTCGAGGCAGATGGCACCTGCCCATCCTTCCCCCGCATTTGAATTGGTGTCTGCTTCACCCTGTGCAGGGAGGGGCGCCCCAGGACGCGCCAACTCACCCTCCTCGGGCAGCCGTCGTCTGGTGGGCACTCCAGGTGTGCCCACAGCCTCGGGGGCATCTGGGCAGACGGCCAGGAGCCTTGAAGGACAAGTGTGACCGCAGGTTCCTGTATGCAGGGAAGTCAGAGCATCACCGCTTAGGAGGGGAGGGGGCAGGAGCCAGAGGGGGCTTCAGGTAGAAACGACCAAGTTGGGGAGGACTGAGTTCCGTCTCCAGGTGTAGGTAGTAGCTACAGACTGAGGAGGATCAGGGGTGATGGAGAGGAGGCCGGAGCACCCTGTCACTGTGTAAACTACAGGCAGAGCGAGATCAGACAGTGATGAGTACTGAGATCCCTGTCACTGGTTGTATGTAACTACAGACAGAAATGAGATGATAACAAGGAGAACTGAGACCCCCCGTCACCAGGTGTATGTAACTACAGATAGATGAGGCGGTGATAGGAGTACTGAGACCCCCGTCACCGGGGGCATGTAACTACAGACAGATAAGGCGGTGACAAGGAGTACTGAGACCACCGTCACCGGGGACATGTAACTGCAGAGCAATTGTGCAGTAACACGGAGGACTGAGCTCTCCGTCACTGCAGCTACAAGTAGCTGCCAAGTGGGCCCCTCCTACTTGACCTCAGTGCCCCTTGACCCCAGTGCCCTGTTCTCTGGAATGCGGGTCCCGTCTGCTCAGGGGTGTCCAACAGTTGGAAGGAACCACACGGGCAAAGTTCTTGGCCTATAGCAGGTGCTCACCCGTTCACATGGGGTTACCCTGGGTTCAAATTCCTCCTAACCTTCAGAGCTTCGTGTGGCCCTGTGCCAGCACCTGTTGCTCCTCCTGCGGGCAACCGCCTCCCCTGCGGATGTGACAAGGCCAGAGGGCAGCCCCTCCTTCCCGAGCAGGGCTTCCCCAGGAGAGACCCTCGGGCTGGCACCCGAAGCGTGAATCCATCACCAGCCGCAGGAAGCAGCCGATGGACCACGGGCCTGGGGCCAAGCTCTGCTAATATCCATGTGAGGTCACTTCCTCGCCCCAACTTTGAGCAGGTGCTGTGGACGCCAGCACAGAGAGGTTGAGCGAGCTGCCCAAGGTCGTCCAGCTGCCACGTGACAGAGCAGGCGCTTGAACCCAGGCTCTGGAGTGGGAGAGCTCAGGAGGGGCTGCCTGAGGACTGAGCGAGGTCCCCCTCTGACAACAGAGCGTGCTGTGCAGGGCCCCAAAGCAGGAGTCTTTTGACTGGAACCTGCAGAGGAGCCACCAGAGAGGGCTAGAATCTGCCATTAACACAGATGTGGGATGCTGAGGGGAGGGTCCTGGAGGCACAGGTGGCCTCCTGCCTTCTCGGGGTACAGGGTTGGGGAGCAGGAAGCAGCAGCCTCCCAGGAATCACTGGGGAGCTGGCTGCCCGCCTTGGGGCCCAGTGCCAGGTGCTGGGCTGGGATATGTGACTCTCTCTCTCCTGGGAAAGGTCAGCCTGGCTGCTCGCTGTCCTGACCCAGCTGTGCTGGACGCCAGGCTCCACAGGGCTCCACCCTGCCCCCACCCAGTTGTCCAGTTCCCCGGTTCCCTGGCCAGCTAGGAGGGCGTGGGGCAGGGCCACCCCTTTCCCTGCAGCCCCCAGGCCTCCTGCGCGGGCTGGACAGACGCAGGGAGGAGGCAGCCCTGCGTGTGCACCTGTGGCACGTTGTGTATAGCACCCTGTTGTTGAAGTTTGCAGATGAGGAATTGCCCAGGGCAGGCGTGGGTGGTGGATGCAAGGTGGGAAAGGTGGGACCCCCCCACCCCGCCTTAGCTCTCACACCACAGAGGCCACAGGGCCAGTGAGGGGGATACCTCTCAGGCCCCCGGCAGGCTGGATGATCAGTCAGTGGTCAGCTCTTGGGGTGGAGGGACCATGTCCCAGAGGCCTTCGGTGGGGTCCTGGCCAGCTCTCAGCAGTTGAAAAGGACTCAGTGCTGGGCTGCTGACGGAAAGGTTGGTGGTTTGAAGCCACCAGCTGTTCTGAGAGATAAGGATGAGGTCCACTCCTCTGCAGAGATGTAGCTGTGAGAATCCCATGGGGCAGTTCTGACCCCTGTGGGGTCACTGTGAGTGGAGGTCCTCCATGGCAGGGGTGGGCTGGCCAGCCCTGGGCCCCACAACTCCCCGGGGAGGCTCCTCTCATGTCCCAGAATGTCCAGGGGGTGCGGGTCGAGGTTCCATGTGAACTCAGGTACAGCCAGGGCCCATCCTGGCCTCACTGCCATCTGTGAAGGTGGTCAGCCCACCTGAGTGGGGCCCCACAGAGCCGCTGGCCGGGCTAGTGCACATGTGGTTTGATTCCTGGTGTTGAGGTGCCTGTTGCCATGCCGACATCCTGGCTGGGCGCACGGGAGCCGGCACTGTCTCCCCTCTATTTATGGGAGTGACATGGTGAGATTGTCAAGTCGGGGGGGAGCCAATGGGGTGAGGAGGCCCCCCGGTGGCTCTGTGGTTAAGGCATTGGGCTGCCCCCTGCAAGAAGCATGGGGCAGTCTGTCCCTGGAATGGTGACAGCCACAGAGCATTTTCGCAGAGTGGGAAGGCGGGGGCCGCTCAGCCCTCCCCCCATCCTCTCAAGTGTCCAGTGGCGCGCAGGCCTGAAGAGGTGGGAGCCGGGCTGCCGCCGCGTGTGATTTACGGCCCTAATTGTGAGCATCTGTAAAGCACCACGTCTGTGTTGCCTCCTCAAGAGGTTAGAGGCTCTGTGCTTCCTCTGAGGGGAGCAGCCGGAGGGAAGACTTCCTGGTGCGTGTTATCCTGTCCCTGTGCCCCTCTCCCCGGCGTTCTGGGGCGGTGGGCACCTGGGGGGCCTCGGGCAACATGCAGGAGGTGCCCGGCGCTGACCAGCCCGTCCCGCGCTCAGGTTTCCGGAATAAGGAAGTGGGATGATTCACACTGGAGCGTGCTGGGCTTCCCCTCCTCCTGCTCGTGTTTTCGGACAGATAATGCTGCTTTGCAAAGCGGAGTCTGGGAACACAGCCTCCGGGGGTGACTTCAGACTTGTCCCTTCTGGAGGACAGTCTGTGGACTGGAACCCTGGGCCCCGAGGAGCTGGGACCTTCAGGGAGGATTGTGGGCACTGGAATCTGGGGGCTGTGCATTTCCTGCGGGGAGAGGGCAGCGCGACAGATGCTATTCCTCTGAGAAGTGGGGTGCACGCTGATAGTGGGGGATCCCCAAGCCGGCTGTGGGGAGCTGGTTCAGTGGAGAGAAGAGGACACGCTGGGGTGCAGCTTTTCTGGGAGCCTGTGACGTGGGACTGAGGGGCTGAGTCAGCGCCCCCAGGTGAGCGGCCCCTCCTGGGCCCGGGCCCTGGTGATGTGTTTTCACCACCGCGGGGGGCGGGGGGGGCGGAGTGGCCGTCTGTCTCACCACCCCCTCCTGTGCCCCTTGGCCTCCTTCTGCAGACTGTCTGTGACTCAGGCTCAGGCCTGACTTCCTGTCTTGGCCAATCTCACTTCCTAGTTGAAGCCTCCTGACTCTTAAGAATGAAACTCCTTCCTTCGAAATTAGAAGTAGGGTTGGGGAGCCCACACCACGGGGAGCTCGCTGTCCCCAGGTGCGGTCAGAGCCACTCAGGGGCTTGCTCCCGGTCAGAGGCAGTACCCAGCCCTTGCCTGGGCCCTTCCCCCCCCCCCGCCCCCCCAGGAGGATGGAGGACAGGCAGGGATGGCATAGCCTCCAGGCCCCGGCCCCCGCGGTTCTGAAGCCTTGTCCCTTACTGAGTGTCTTTCAGGAGCCCTAGTGGTCCAGTGGTCAAAGCACTTGGCTGCCAGCCGAAAGGTTGGCAAGTGGAAGCCACCAACCACTTCCTGGGAGAAACGGGGAGCTGCCTGCCCCGTAAATACTGCAGTCTTGGGGACCTTCGGGGGCCAGATCCGTGCCCTGCAGAGCTGCTGCCAGGAGGTGGACTGGACAGCAGGGGCCAAGGTTTGGGTTTTAGGGAATGCCAGAGCAGTGCTGGTGGCGTGTTGATTGAGGCGATCGAATGCTAACTGGAAGGTGAGTTCTTAGAACGCACCTTGGAACAGAGAGGCAGAGAGGAGTCTGCTCCCCTGAAGATCGCAGCCCCAGGAACCCAGGGGACAGTTGTGGTGTTATCCTATGGGGTCACTGTGAGCCACAGCGGGTGGGCGGCAGTGCGTGGGTGATACGTGCCATGCTCTCCAGAGGCACTGACCCAGCAATGGGCAACTGCAGGCAGACAGTGGCCACAGAACCCCAAAGCCAGCAGAGGATGGCTTTGGAGGAGGCAGGTGCAGGGAGGCTCCTCGGAGGCGGTGTCAGGAGGCGGGCTTGAGAGGAGATTTGGGCAGGTGCAGGAACGGTGGGAAGTCTGGACAGAGGCATGCCAGGCACACTTGGGGGGGGCAGATAGAAGCCAGGGGACCCCATGGCCTTTGGCTTTTATTCTGGAAGCTTCTGATTATCTAAGCCATGGGGGCAACTGACGGTCTGGTTTGTTTTTTGTGAGTTTGGGTTCTGGCTGGAGGAAGCAGGGTAGGGGCACCGTGTGATGTGAGACCTGCATCCCTCAAGTTCACTCAGATCCTGTGGGAGAATGAATAAGGCTCAGAGCAAGGTCAAGGGGGCTGGTCGCTCCCTGCCCCTGGGGACACCTGTGGCTCTATGGGTAGAGTGGATTGACAGAGGGGTGAAGGGACAAGCAGGTCAGTGACCCTCAAGTGGTGGAAAGCGGTTTTGACCTGGGTCTAACTCCAAAGTTCAATGAGTTAACTTTCAACCTCCCTGGAGCTCCCTGATCCACCGCAGGAGATGTGCAGGAGTGCAGGCCGCCTAGTCACGCCAGAGGAGAGGGGCCCTTTGGGGACCCCTGCACCCTAACTGGCGGCGTCTCTTCCAGTGGCGGAGGCCCTTTGGAGCCTCACCTTCTTCCGCCTCCCCCAGTCCCCCAGGCGCTCGGGGGCGGGGCAGACCGCAGGTGGAACCGGCTTGAAGGAGGCGGGAGGCGCTGTTTGCGCCTGGCTGCGGGGTGGAGAGCTCTGTTTCTCTGGCTCGCTCATCTGTTCTTACCGCTGCTGACGCCGCCGCCGCCGCTGCGGATGGGGAGGGCGGGCGGGGGAGCCAGTGCCGGCTTGGCCCCCCCCTCTGAACCTGGTCGGCCGCCACTCTCCCCGCCGCCGCCCGCCCGCCCGCCCGCGTCTGGAGGTCACATTCGTGCCGCCGCGCGCTGGGCGCAGAGG